AATAACTTCCTTAATCAAGATATATTTGATCACTTAAGGGGGATTAATATCTATTTTAAGAAAACACAGTCAAATTCAAGATTCTTCTCTCCCTTTCTTCTCAAGGTGGTCATGGCACCTGGGCTTCTGCCATCATCTGCCCTCTGCTGGACGTGGATGAACGTCATCAGGTTCCGTCTTTGGTAAGTGACCTCTAACTTCCATGGGCTGGGCTCCTCCCGTTCCCTGAAGTCATGAGTCTGGGCATGCAGGTCATTAGGTGTCCTCGTGGGCCCAGCTGCCTGGGCCCTTTGGAATCTGAAGGCCTGTTCTTAGTGGTTTCTGCAGCTTCCATGGGGATGGGGAGCTTTTACGTGTTCTCCTATGCCACTGTTGAACCTGTGCAGCCTTTGACCACATATGCCTAGAACACCATGTGCTATTTTTGCTATTTTGCTCCCACACCATTGGTGGGCAGAGCATAGAGGAGGTTGCTGTTTGGCAGAGTGTTAAATGGAAGTAGGACATAGCTTTGATTAGTCTTAGATCCTCAGTCTTAAAGAAGATCTCTATCCTATCATTTACAGGACTCACTTTGGGGGCAAGGGGCAAAAGCAAGGGGCAGAAGAAACTAATCCTCATGTTTACCTCTCTTCTCACTTCCGAGTCAGGAGTAGAATGGGGAGGTGACAGGAGGTGCAATCTGACTCTCCATCTGTTTTCTTTCTAGTCTATTGTTCATGTGTAAGTCTTCTTGGTACTCAAATTATTTCCATGTCCTATGCCAGCAGCTCTCACACTTTTTGGTCTGAGGATCCTATTACATTTTAAAAGATTATTGAGGGCTTTGATTTATGAGAGTTATATCTGTCAATATTTACTGTATCTGAAATTTAAATTGAGGAATTAAGAAAAATTAACTAATTTAAAAGTAACAGGTACAAACCCATAAGATCACAGTTCTAATGAAAAAATGTTTTTCCAAAAAAAAAAAATTAGTGAGGAGGGTGACATTATGTAACATTTTTGTAAGTCTCTTTGATGTTTGGTTTAGTAGAAGACACCTGGATTCTGGTATCTACTTCTGTATTCAATCTATTTTGATATGTTGTTTATTGAAATATATGAAGAAACTCTGACCTCACAATAATGTGTATTTGGGAAAGGAATGTGTATATTTATAGCATTTTCAGATTATCGTGGATTTTTTTTGATAATACACTAACACTTGAAAAGTGATATTTTCTTAAAAGATACTTGAAATGTGTAATCTGAAACCAAATCAATGAGCTTTCATACTATGCTACATGAAAAACTGTTAGTTTATCTTGCCCTATGCATGGATCCTTTACTATTCTAATGATTGTGTCTATAGGGATTTGGTAACTTTATGCACTCAACATTTGGAAAGTATTTGACCACTGAATTACTAAGATCTCCAACTGTTCATGTTTTGTTATGTAATATTGGAAAACCATATTTGTTAATATCACCATCATATTTCATCAGAAAAAGTATTTAAATATTAAGCTCTTTCTATAAAATTCTAATTTTCCCTTGAAAGCTCAAATTTTATTATTGGCCCCAAATACTGTCAGTTGTTGTTCTTGAAGTGACAGGCTCACTTTATTCATTTTCAAAAATATGTCTGACAGTTACTCAGGTCTGAATAACCATAGTTGTGTGCCAGTCATTCTTTCAAGTAAAAATGATGTTTGATGAGTAGCTGGCTTTTTTTTTTTTTTTAGTTTAAATAAATTGAATTGAAATTTAAAAACTCAAGTTACTTGTTCAATTTGCAACCAAACAATTGCCTAAGTGCTTTTCCTTCAGATAGCTATCTACTTAAGTATGTAGCAGAAATACATTTACTGCTTAAATTTGGCAAACCAAGAAATAAAGATAAAAAGTAATTGGAATTATGGAGGTAATAAACACAACTCAAAATGGCCCATGTACTTTGCATTTTGTCACAGAGAATACTAAAAAGACATGTACTCAAAGGATGACATTTAATAATATTAAGATTTCTTACTGCTTTATCAAGGACATTCTTAAGTGAAACCAGCTTTTTGAAAATGAGTGAGGAGTGTGTGGTGGTGAAGAACACAAGGACTGCTAGTAGAGGTTGATGTGACTGCCTTGATTTAGTTAAAGCATAGCAGCTTTACCCACTATTGCTATTGCAAAATTGGTGAAAATATGAACACAATGACAAAGGAATAAAATAAATTAGTATCATTTTGACCTTGCAGACTCCCTGCAGCGCTAAGTAAGGCTCTGCACCATGACAGAGGTCTTATCTGCTAGGTAATCTCCTGGGTAACATAAAATATCTGATGCTAAAGTCAGCTGCTACTTAGATTTCTTAAGTCTGTTATCTCCTCACCAGCTTGTCAGGACTGTTAGTCCTGAATATTTAGACTTATCTTTTAAAAATAAAAGATTATTGCTATTGTGATAATGGTAGTACATGTGCTTAGAAACGAACATTCAAATATTTCTTCCTGGTCTCACATTTCTTGTAATTATAATCCCTGTAATTACTTGACACTCTAGTCACATTTATCAAAGAACTCCCTTTTACCATTTTAAGTTGTGTTGATTACCTCCATAACTCCAATTACCCTTTATTTCTTGCTTTGCCAAATTTAAGCAGTATCTGTTGGCTTCCCACATGAAGGATGAGACATTTAGCTTATTTTTATTACTGTTCCTCATTTTCATTCTTGCTCATCTTCCTAATTTTTGAAAATACATTTATATTTTTATTTTTGTTTCTAGTTCTTTTTTATCATGTTTGTGGCTTTAAATAATGTACTTAAACATAGGTCCATTTCTGCTGAACTTATCACGGGCCAAAAGCAGGCCAGAGTGTTCTCCAAAGAACTGAGGAAGGAAAGGCTGAGCTACTCAGCCCAATTTCTGCTTCTAGTTTTACCATCTAGGTAATTCATGGCTCCTACCCTGTGGCAGAATGTGTGAGAGACAAAGAGAGTCAAATATAACAATTAACTGATAAAATAAAGCAACGGGAAAAGTGGCTACCAATGATCATATTTGACTTCTGTTGACAGATAGGGAAATTGAGGCCCCAAAAGGAAAAGTGACCTACCCAGTGCTATTAGTTAAGAACAGGTATTAGACTACAGTCCACTCTATCCTCTCTGTTATTCCCATGTACTGAGAACGTTCCTGTAATTACTTGGGAAGAGAAACAGTATGGTTTTATCAAGTTGACTATAGGTGGGAATGAGCATTGTTTAATGTTATATTTTCACAGCAACTTTTCTTTTTATAATTACAATATTTAACTTTTTATAAGTATGTCAATTTATTCATTTGTATGTAAAATAAACTTTAGTTTTTGATAGTTTATGTTTTATGGGCCTTTAAAAGTTTTGGTTGCTTTGAAGGACTTAAGTTTTGAAAGGATACACTAAAGCCCTAAAAGCATATAGAATTTTGAACTTGCATTTCTGTTTAAAGTGTTTAAGACTGAAAAAATTCAGATTCAGAATATTATTCACCAAATAGAGAAAAGAAGACCAATCTTCTCTGGTCCAACTGTATAAATTATGCATAATAATTCAAGAGCAAGATCTGGTTTCCATTTCAGTTATTGATTTGAAATACAGCATTTTGGCATCAGAAATGTAGACAGCAGGCATTTCCTGCACTTAATTTATTCCCTCATAACCAAGAAGCAGCTTGATGTAGACAGTTTTATATAAAACTTGTTACAGATCCTGTGCATTTTGGAAATGTTTCACATTTCAGTCAGTTTTCTGTATGGTAAAAGGTGGGTAAATAAATTCTTCCTAACAATATCTTGGTGACTTTATGTTGTGAGTATTTAATTTGTAAAATTTGCTTTGACTTCCTTGAAAGGGATTGCTAAGGAAATATTTGTCCTGAATCTGGCAAGTGAATGTCTTTCTTAAGTGCTTATTGACACTAGTCATGAGTCCTCTTTCTTTAAGAGATGTTCCAAAGGAGATGGTAAAAATATAGCTGGTTCCAATTTTAGTCATTTATTAATCTTTGTATTTATAACTTTTGGGAATAGACTGAGAAATGATGGAAACTCAAAGATTAAGACAGTTGTAAGATTAATGAAAGAAGGTGCAAGAGAAAGTTAAAAAATACATTTCATTATATTAATAAATGAACAAATTCTTTGTGACATTTGTTAAGAGCACTGACTATCTAGAGAATGCATAAACAACACCCTGAGGGTGATAAATGGCAAGAAGTAGCAGTAGCACTGGATGCGGCAAGTGTCCCTGAAATTCTGTTAAGTACCCTTCGCCACAGGTGAGAGGCTTATTCAAAGTAGATTCTAGATTTTCTTGGCAATGGAATCAGTGTCACACTGTGTCTTTAGCTTTCAGTCTCAAAGGTAAAACTCATGCTTAAACTTATGAAATTGAGTCTACTCTAGGAGGTAAATATTTCAAGTCAACACAAATAATTTCATTTTGAGGATTCTTTGCTCTTCGCATGACTGCCAACTGTTGGGGATGGGTGTGTGCGTGTGCATGTGCATGTGATGGTGGGCAGGAAGAAGGCCGCAACTGTATTCTAGGTGGTGACCAAGCAGAGTCAGCTTTGGCAGAATAGAACTCAGCTATAGAGCATAATTTCAATTCTTACTAAAATAATCTGAACAGTGCTGGCCATTTCTTCTAGAAATTGCAGTGCTCATATCTCTGGGAAGCATAATAATGTAAGTAATTAGAAGCCACTAACATTGATGGGGTTGGTTTATTAACTAGTCATCAGCTGGTCCTGGAGGAGATAGAGTAAGAATAACATATTTAGATAGAAAATTGGGCATCAAATGTATTCCAGATTGGAGAACTTGGAAGTTTTCCATGCATGTCTCCATTTTGAATTATATTAGTGGTATCTATGTTCTATAACCACCTCCCACTCTGTTCTCAGACAAACACAAACAACCAGATACCTACTTATTACCTAAAACCACAGGCCCAAACTCTTGATTTTCTTATCACAGTTTATTGTTGTTCATTTGAGGTACCATGCTACTATCAGAATTATATCCAGGATTTTTATTTTAAAAAAATCAGAGAAAAAAATGTTTCCAGTAATTTTCATTCAATGTGAATGACAAGAATATTATAGCTTATAAACATTGAAATAACCATTTCATTTCTTCCTGAGGAAGTTTCATATTTTAAGTAATGAAAAAGGAATTCTACACAAAGCTAGTTTTAATCACATTCTCACTCAGTCTTTTCTCATGTGTATTTATGTTACTTTCAGAATAGCATAATAACCTGCTGGAGTGTAAATATAAAAAGCATTCATGTCCTCTAGAATTTGATGTTGTCTCCAAGGTACACTGAGTGGTCAAAATCCTTTCAAAGGTTTGCAGCTATAGGTGGCATAATAGCTGTACTGTGAATGAGTAAATTTTGGTATCATATCCTTTCATTAGACAAGGATGCAGTATGTTTTCAACATAATCTTAAGGTCTGAGTTGTTCAGCTGACTCAGCTTACCTAGACAAAATTATGCCATTAACAGCATTGTTTAGAATTTTAAATATACATCTCATCATTAAAACATAAGTGTATCAGTTTTTCTTTGTTTTTTTTTTTTATCAGAAATGTTGTCAAAATAAAACATGATACTGTATGTAGCTACTAGGGTCCATTCTCACTACGTTTGACCCTATATGCCAGTTTTCTTAAATTAGTGGAAAGACTATCTTCATTTTCCTAGCGTGTTGTACATGTGCTGTTTCAAAACAGGCAGCAGTAAGCATGGAGACTGAATTTGCCATGTTGTCCAAGGGACTGTTTTTTCTCCAATTCTTTCTGATAATAGCTGGTTTAAAAATTAGTATATCATTTGGGTATATAAAACTTAAAAACATTATAATTATAATGTCATTTTAAAACTTTATAGTAAATGGACAGATCTCAAAATTTGTTTTCAAATTACTGAATGACAGAGTTAGTTTACACACATTATAGTGACAATGAAAATATTTGGGCTATAGATTTTTCTTGTATATCTTTTTTATCTAATCACACTTTTGAAAACACTTTATAAAGGCTTACTTATGTAATCATAGCAGGGAATTTATTTATTACTTAAAGTTTTATGTCTACAGGACATTTAAAAATTAAGTAAATATAAGCACAGGAAATAAGTATAGCTTCATTTTTTTAATACTTTACTAATCATGTAATCAGTTAAAAATATAACTGTAAATATATTTTGAGAACCATCCCTGGCTCATCTTTGTACTTCCTTTATTTAATTAGTAGATAAGCCATAAATGTGACTATGTTCTGCTGTCTTCCACGAGAGTGATATATGAAATATTCTAAAAAAAATGGAACTTGGCCCTACTTATTTTTTTCTGCCTTGTATTAAAAATATCATTGCAAATGTCAGATTCAGAATCATATATTAATTTGTTTTTGTTGTAAACCTCTACATTATACAATTCCATTTTGAACTATCTCATAGTTTTCTATAATTTAAAAGTAAATAACCTAACATATCTAGAGAAACTGTCCTTAGTTTTTATTTAATAGATTTTGTTCTGGGGAACAAAAAAAAAAGTTGTTCACATTTAAATGTCAATCTGTTACTGAACATGACACTTACCTCAGATTCTATGCAAGTGTGTCTGTAAAATCCACGAGGAAGACAAGAGTAGATATGTAGCTCACAGAAAAGGGACATAAGTTTTCAATGATGTACCTTCAGACCCTACAATTTCTCCCCTTTACAGGATTTAGTCTGTATACTTTACAGTATTGTTAACTGTATTTCCATCCTCAGTGCCTTTCTATTTACCATCCAATGGCTTTACAACATATCTTTCAGTATAACGATTACATAATGATTACAGAAGAATTAGTAACTTTTACATAAATGCACTGAACTATGTTATGGAAAGTCACTTTTTCTTGTTACAGCACTTAATTGTATTTGATGCGGAGAAAGCTCATATGTAACTTTTCCACTCTGATCTAGCGCAAATTATAATTTATAATTCTTTCTAAATACTTCTGTGGATTTATATTTTGGCAAACATTTTTCATGGGTGCTATGCCTTTGACATTTAATGCTACATTATGATGTTTATTTTGCTTCTTGTTTCGTAGGACACTTTGTAGAATAAATAAGAAAACATTGTACAGGCAAACAGTGGTCTAAAAATCTACAGAGACACAATCTTAGTTGATATATATAAAAGTGTAAATATTACTATGAAATGGAACAGTTCTGCATTGTGTTTGATATTTATATTGATTGCAATTGACTTCCACATGAGTACACAGTAGTCTACAATCCCACAGGCTCCGATATGGGTAAGAGAAAGGCCATAGGCCTCAAGACTAGTAACAGATATTTTTCTTTTTTCATTTTTGTCCTCATCATCCACATGCCAGCACATGAAAGGAACTCTATTCTCTTTTCTCATTTGAAGAGGTATATTTTTAAACAGCCTTTTGGTAGCTTCCAGAAGTTTTGGGAAAGGAGATTGTTACATGGAAGCTGGATACTCAGGAAGTCCTTTCTCTGTGCTATCTCACTTTCTGCAGCTCTTGTCTCAGCCAGGATGGCAGAGGCTGCCCCAGTTTGTGCAGCAGCTTTGAGAGTTCCACGTTGTGATCTCGATAGTAGCTTGATAGAAATGCTCTGCTCTGAGGTGTGAGGAGATAAAAGTACATTTTACTTTGTTTATTAAAGTACATTTCATATACTTTGATGACGTTTAAATCTGTATCAAGTATATTGTACCTGGCTTAAAATTTATGTTAAGCATATGGACTATTTATTTATCACAGCATAAATACAGTGTCTCTGTTCTTCAAAATACACACTCTACATACATACATACTAGGGAAAGAACTTTCATATTAAACATGGCTTACTGTGCAGAATTAAATGTTAAAATAACTAGGTTGTTTTGGTAGAAATATAGCTGCAACAACTGATTGGGTCCAATACTATGCACTATTAAAATTACCCTAACTTTGGAGAGTTAGTTTAGTAAATTTGTAATATAAAATACTCCTGTCATCATTAATTTATAGTAGATTTTGGAGGTTGAGAGATCTTTTAAGGAATATACAAAACACTCAGGGCTAAAGCAGTACTGGGTTAAGCCTTAAAAATGTAGTAGGTAAACCAGCTAAACATAACCTGATATATTTGTACTCTTTGACCCAAGGAAGGAAAAGAATACATTGTAAACTATTTTGACTTGGAGGGAGGTTGATTTCTCTTCAATAAAGTACAATACTTCAATAATTCAAACTGCTGAAAATGGAAAGGGCTGTGTTATGAGATGGCATGTAGTGGGTTTGTGTATACTTTCAATGACTATTGGTAGGAATGCTGTGGAAGGGGGATTTCTGCCTCTGTATCTATACCTCCCTGCTTTAGAGTATTCTTAGATTTTTAGTTGGGTTGAACCTTCAAAAGTCTTTAATTTCTTCTGCTATTCTTTTTAAGTGTCATATCTGGTACTCCATTTAAAATGTTATAAAAAATATCTGCTATTGTATTAAAAATTTCAATGTAAGCTAGTGATTTTTGCAATAATCATAACCACTGGAGCTAGACTGGACATTTGAGCTATAGTCTACCCATTACTGTGACCGAGGGAGAACCAAACCTTTGTGTGGTGCAGGTGCCAGTGAGTCTCATTTCTCTATTTTTGGTCTTCCTCAGTCATTATTTCTAAACCACCTATAGGCCCAGCTGGCATACTCAGGCCAGAAAGGGGCAGATAAATTGTATTTCTCAGATACCGCATCTGGAGCCTGATAACTGTGCACTTCCATGCTGCCAGCCAGACCTGGAATCCAGTGAGGAGCCTAGGTCTGTGTGTAGAGTCTGAGTTCCTGAACTTCCCATTATATTCTCTTTTAATGTCTCACTTCACATTGTTCCTTTATGACTGAAGCCCTGCTTGGTGTAACACCAGCCTGGGGCTGCCCAGCTCCTGTTAGCCTGCTGCTTAGAGATTTCCACAGGGTAAGTGATTGTCCAGTACCTTAACGAACTTCAGAATCGAACCTCCTGAAATCCATTTCTACTTTCTATCCTCTTGGAGCTTGTATTGAACCTTCTGATAACTGAGGATTATTTCTACCATACCTCAATTTATTGGCTTTTTGGGCATCATTTTAAAATCTGGCTGCCTGTGTCAGTTCTGCCTTTGTAGGCAAACTTTTATCATCTCTCCTTTTATGTGTGTATGTGTGTCCACATAATCATTGCCCCTTAATCAAGTACCCCTTCCCCTTGTTATTCTGCTCCCTCATTAATGCAAGATAACTGATAGGAGGTTTGCAAAGTACAATATATCGAGAATCTAATATGTTCAGATCAAAAGTTACTAGGACAAGAACTAGGTGATACGCAGGATGTGTTGTACACATATTGTTATCCGACAATAATTCAGAAGATAATATTTTAGATGGTAAGATCACAGATACGGTATTTGCTAATGTATGCCAATGTAGTCTGACTATATATGCAAACTCATACAAAATAATGTAATGAGAGGGAATAATAATACAGACTTTTATAATATGTAATGAGAAATATATATTTGTTTTTCATCTCTGGTTCCTGGTACATAACTCCTAAAATCCTTGTTATTTCCTGAGTGATAGGGGTGAGAGGAATGTCTTTTATTATTCATAATGAACTCCTTTAAACCATACCTCAGTTTATGCTAATGAAATGTCTCTTAGTGGAGCCCTCGATAACTTCACATGGGGGCCTGGCTGCCAGAAGAACCAAACCCCAAAATATGATTAGGGGGTTGGAACTTTCAGCCCCACTCTGCCTCTGGAGAATGGAAAAAGGGATTGGAGGTTGATTCAATAGTCATGGCTAATGCTTTAATGAATCATGGCTAGTAATGGAAACTCTATCAAAAGCCTAAATGAAGGGATTTGGAGAACTTCAGGGTTGGTAAATGTATCCACATGCTGAGAAGGTGGCACATTGCAAACTCTACAGGGACAGAAGCTTCTGTGCTCAGGACCCTTGCAGACCCTGTGCTATATACCTCTTCATCTGGTTATTCATTTCTATCCTTTCTAATAATAGGAAGTAAAGTGTTTCCCTGGTAATAATAAAGTGTTTCCCTGAGTCCTGTGAACTGCTACAAATTATATAACCTGGGGAAGGGGTGATGGAGGGATGTGTAGCCAAGTTGGATAGAAGTGTGAGTAATCTGGAACCCACTACTTGCTCTTTGAGTCTGAAGGGGGTGGGGGATAGTCTTATGGGACTGAGCCCTTATCCTGTGGAGTTTGAGCTAACTCTGGGTAGTTAGTGTCAGAATTGAATTAAATTATAGGACATCTAGTTGGTGTCTGCAGAAAATTGGAGAATTGCTTGGTATGGAAGCCCCACACATTAGTGTCAGAAGTATTTGAGTAAAAGCAGATCTTATGACTACACAGTAACCTTGTTGAGAGATGTAGGAGTACTGATATCCTGAGGTTGTATTTTTTCTTATTTTTCTCTGCCACCAAATTTTAATATTATGTCTCAGTAAGTCAGTTTGATAGGAGAAAGATAAAATGCTAAGGAAAATGTTCTATAGTGTCTTTTAAACATTTTAGTTTTAATAACATATAAATAGCTTTACATAAATGAAAATGATATATTTTATATCGTTTTCTTGAAATACTATGGAAATAGCTTTTGAATTTCTTTTAATGTATGAGGATTGTTTTCACAGTGCTCTGAAGGTCTATTTTAATAGCCAAAGAAAACTATGGTTTTGAGAATACAGTTTATCAAAACAACAGGAAGAACCCCCACAATGCCTTTTAGATAGAATTTAATTATGGGTTTAATGAGGATAGGCCCTGTCTCTATCAGGTTGTATTAAAAAAAAAGGTCCTCATAGTCTTGAAGTATTCAAAAAGTATTCAAGTAACTTTAGACCATCTTAGTATTCTTAGACCTCTGTAGAACTCTTAGTTAACATGATGTATTAAATATTGTGGGTGAAAAAAAAACAAGTAATATTTTAGTTTCTGAGTTACAAAATTTTTTTAACCAAATCAGTCTACTTGCATTCATAAGTCCAAACCACACATTAACTGGATTGATTATGAAATCAAAATAATATTAATAAATTTTAATATATGTGAAAGAAACATTAAGGTAAAAGTACAGGGTCTACAAACTAATAGCACTGATTTTCATCACTATTCTGAACAAAACAAACATGAAGTGCTAGTTACAGACCACAGTTTGGGTATCTCTCTTCTCCTAAACTTAAATTATCTATCAGCAAGTATGTTAAATACTTGGGAAATAAATTAATTTGTCTTATTAGCATACTAATCATTTGAAGCTTAGTATAACAGTAGTCAATATTCTTATGCAGGCCATACTTAACCACTGTAGAGTGACACAATGAAACAAATAGAAATCTTTTGGTTCTGTTTTCAATTTCCAGTTGACAAAGTTTGTGTCTTGATTTCACTTAATATTTTTAGTGTTAAAATTTCTGTGAACATATTATTTCCTTGGAATGAGATTTGCCTTCTCTGTTCTCATTCCAAACAGCAACTTCTATTGTCTTCTTTTATTCTTGCATGACAGGCATTGGAGAAATCAAAACAAGCATCCTGTATGCATTGAAATTTAAATGTCACTTTTACATTTTAGAAAGGTTCAATTTTGATTTTAACCACTTTTTGATAAAATGGATATATTATTATTAATAATTTTTCTTATTTAGTTTGTATTTTAAATCTCTGTACTTACATCAGGATCCATTGGAGAGTATTTTCTTCCTTTGCTCCTTCCAAGGCATTTTGTTTTACCTTCTTCCAGTAACTGACACCAAAAGCCTTTATGAGAATCAAACCTAAAAAAATAAAAAATACAAAACACAAAAAAAGTATTTCTCAAGGAATTTACAAGATATGATGACCAAAAACATGAATATTTTTATGTGGCTATTAATCTATAACCAGGGAAATTGGCATATCTTTTGACTTATTCACTTTGCATAAAATGTTTGGCATACTTTTGAATTCTCAATCCATCTGTCATATTTGTGAGTTTGCCAGATTCCTAATAGAAAAATTGTCAGCAGCAGGTCTCCTATTAATAGATATTAATAAGACTATCTCCTTCATCTGGAAGAAAATTTTATATAAATTTTAAGCCCATTCTTTCCCTTCGTAGGGTTTAAAAATGACAAGTCAAGCTTCATCCATATCTATGGATTTACATAGTACTTGTACCATATGATTACAACGTAATAGAAGAGAAAAGGTTTTAGTGTGCCATGGAGAGATTAATTTTAGGATTCTGTAGCTATAACTCATTCAGATTTTTTTTACAGCTATTTTCTTATTTTTTGTATAATCTCTGTATTAAAGTAACAGCAGCTATAAATGTGGATTTTTGTGGCATAATTATAGTCAACATAATAGTAGCACATTCAATTTATATTTTAATTTACCAAAATATTTCATGTAAGTCTTTGTTATTTGAGCTTTCATTACAATCCTTTAAGGATATGGAGTATAGGATTCTTCCTAGTTTATGACAGCTGGCATAGTGTTTGTCTCTTTGTGAACACTCACCAAATGTAAGTTGAAAAAAAATGAAAAAGAAGGGAATATTTGTGAAGGTTTATTTATCTTGAATTATATACTTTTTCAGTATGCAGGTAATGATTCACATCTAGGCCTCCTGACTCTCGGTCAATGGCCTTTTCTTATTCACTTTTCTCTGGGCATGTGTTCTACTATCATTCATTATGAACAAATAGTAATTTCCACCCTTGAATATGAAAGTGAAAGTAATAGTCATGAATGACAATTTTTTCACATTGCTTTTGTTATTCAGTGATTTTGTTGCTGTTTTTTCTTCTTCATTAAAAGAATGATCATTTAGTATTAGTTCCTTTTGTCTTAATCCATACTACTCAGAATACTGCTTACAATTTTTCTTAAAATCATAGTGTGAACAATGAACAAATGGAAACTGAAATAAAAATACATCTTACACAAAAATAAACTTAAAGTGGATTAAAGGCCTAAATATAAAACCTGAAACCATAAAACGCTTAGAAGAAAACATAAGCAGTAAACTCTTGAACACTGGCAGTAGTAATTTGTTTCTGGATAAGTCTCCCCAGGAAAAAGAAACAAAAACAAATGTGAACAGTGGGACTACATCAAACTGAAAGGCTTCTGCACAGCCTAAGAAACCATCAACAAAATGAAACCTCACCCCACTGCATTGGAAAATATATTTGCAAATAATATATCTAATAAGGGGTTAGTAACCAAAATATATAGAAAAAACATACAACTCGGGAGAGGATTAAAGATGGTGGTGTGAGAGGTGAGACAGAGGCTTCCTTATAAAACCGCATATAATACGAAAATATAATTAATACAACTAATCCTGAGAGAGCAACAGGAAAGAAGACTGCTCCAGACTGCATACACATGGAGAAAAGAGCAGACCTCACGGAGCAGGGTAACATACTAAAGGTGTGGCCCGGCAGGACCCAAGCCCTTCCCCCACCACAGCTCACTGGCAGGAGGAAGAGAAACGGAGAGGGGAGTGAGTGGAGGCCTGGGACTGCTGAATACCTAACTACGGAGATATGTTATGAGAGCACAAACCTACATTTCATGGTGCTTTCATGATACTCTCGTGATTACAGGGTTGGAAAGCTAAGACAGGAAGAATTCCTGGAAAGACTGAGATTACAGCTGCTTGTGGAAAGCAGGGATCCATATTCAGCTGCTCTGCGACAAAAGGTTATACCTGTGTGCTCCAACCACTGGTTCAGACAGTGGAGACAGGCATAGCAGCTGGGAAGCAGGAAACAGCTCTTTCCTCCCCCCAGGCACCAATACTGCTCCCCTACAACCCCCAACATTGCTTCAGGGGCTGAGCAGCTCCAGAGAGTAGAGCTTTTGGACACTAGAGGGCACCATATACAAATATGAAATGCCAAAGGAACATGGTCACAGAGTAAAATTAATATAACCCCTGAGAAAGATAACATGGACCTCATAACTCTTCCTGAAAGGGAGTTCAAAATAAAAATCATTAACATGCTAATGGCAGTATGGGAAGATATTCAAGAACTCAGGAATGAATTCTCGTTGAAGATCCAATCATTGAAGAGCACAATGGAGGTTATTAAAAGCAGATTGGATACAGTGGAGGAGATGATAAATGAAACAGAAACTAGAGAAGAGGAATACAAAGAAGGTGAGGCACAGAGAGAAAAAAGTATCTCTAAGAATGAAAGAATATTGGGAGAACTGTGTGACCAAGCCAAACGGAACAACAGTTCCATTATAGGGGTACCAGAAGAAGAAGAGAGAGAGAAAGGAATAGAAAGTGCCTTTGAGGAGGGAGTTGCTGAAAAGGAGATAGTCTCTCAGGCCATGGAGGTGCACAGATCTCCCAACACAAGGGACCCAAGGAAGACAACACCAAGACATATACTAATTAAAATGGCAAAGGTCAAGGATATGGACAGACTGGTAAAAGCAGCCAGAGAGAGAAATAAGATCACATACAAAGGAAAGCCCATCAGGCTAACATCAGACTTCTTAGCAGAAACCTTACAGGCCACAAGGGAGTGGCATGATGTATCTAATGCAATGAAGCAGAAGGGCCTGGAATCAAGATTACTTTATCCGGGAAGATTATCATTTAAATTTGAAGGAGGGATTAAAAAGATGAGAGACTTTACCTCCCACAAACCGTATCTACAGTCTATTTTGGAGGGACTGCTATAGATGGAAGTGTTCCTAAGGTTTAAAGCTGTCACCAGAGGTAATAAAACCACAGTAAGGAAAGTAGAATAGCTAATTACTAAGCAAATGCAAAATTAAATTAAGTATCCCCAAAGCCAATCAAGGGATAGACAAAGACTACAGAATATGATACCTAATATATAAAGAAAGGAGGAGGAAGAAAAAGGAGGAGAAAAAGAAAAGAACCCTTAGATTGTGTTTGTAATAGCATATTAAGTGAGTTAAGTTAGACTCTTAGAGAGTAAGGAAGTTAACCTTGAATCTTTGGTAACCACGAATCAAAAGCCTGCAACAGCAATAAGTACATACCTATTGGTAATCATCCTAAATGTAAATGGACTGAATGCACCATTCAAAAGACAGAGAGTCACTGAATGGATAAAAAAACAAGACCCATCTATATGCTGCCTACAAGGGACTCACTTTAAACCCAAAGACATATACAGACTAAAAGTGAAGGGATGGATAAAGATATTTCATGCAACTAATAGAGAGAAAAAAGCAGGAGTTGCAATACTTATATCAGACAAAATAGACTTCAAAACAAAGAAAGTCACAAGAGAGAAAGAAGGACATTACATAATGATAAAAGGGTCAATCCAACAAGAAGATATAGCCATTATAAATATCTATGCTCCCAAAACAGGAGAACCTACATATGTGAAACAAATACTAACTGAATTAAAGGGGAAATAGAATGCAATGTATTCATTCTAGGAGACTTCAACACTCCACTAACTCTGAAGGACAGATCAACCAGACAGAAAATAAGTAAGGACACAGAGGCACTGAACAACACATTAGAGCAGATGGACCTAACAGCCATGTACAGAACTCTATACCCAAAAGCAGCAGAATAAACATTCTTCTCAAGTACACATGGAACATTTTCAAGAATAGATCATATACTAGGCCACAAAAAGAGCCTCAGTAAATTCAAAAAGATTGAAATTGTACCAACCAGTTGCTCAGACCACAAAGGTGTGAAACTAGAAAGAAATCACACAAAGAAAATGAAAAATCCCACAAACACCTGGAGGCTTCACAACATGCTCCTAAATAACTAATGGATCAATGACCAAATAAAAGCAGAGATCAAGCAATATATGGAGACAAATGACAGCTATAATTCAACACTGCAAAATCTGTGGGACACAGCCAGTCCTGTGCTAAGAGGAAAGTATATTTCAATACAGGCCTACCTCAGGAAAGAACAACACTCCCATATAAGCAGTCTAAACTCCCAATTAATGAAACTAGAAAAAGAAGAAAAAGTGAGGCCCAAAGTCAGTAGAAGGAGGGACATAATAAAGATTAGAGCATAAATAAATAAAATCAAAAAGAATAAAACAATAGAAAGAATCAATGAAAGCAAGAACTGGTTCTTCAAGAAAATAAACAAAATAGATAAACCCCTAGCCAGACTTATCAAGCAAAAAAGAGAGTCTACACACATAAACAGAATCAGAAATGAGAAAGGAAAAATCACTATGGACACCACAGAAATTCAAGGAATTGTTAGAGAATACTATGAAAAATATATGCTAACAGACTGGATAACCTAGAGGAAATGAAC